TAGCCAAAGCTGAATGACGTACTGAATTAGAAGACTGGAGCACCTGTCAAAATTGTTCTAGCTAGGAAGGTTTGGTCTCTTGAATCAGTGAAGTACTTGCTGAAGGCGCCTTTACAACTAAGGTCTTTGTTGAAAAATCAACGAACAAGACGTCTAACCCAACGTGTACAGGCGAATCAAACTTTGTGAAAGCATACCTTTGGTTTTTTTCGTCTGGAGCGTCTGTTGGAATAGCTGTCTTGGGACTATCGTACTAAATAAATTAAAAAGGATAACAATACGCAGTTAGTGCATGACCGAACCTGAAGCCTACAAGACAAAGCTGCCTGACTGCATTAAAATGCAAAAAAATCGACTATATATACATGTAAATAAGAAATGCTCCTTCTTACCATGGTCCCAGCATCCGCAAAATCCCTGCATGCGGGGCAGAAGAATGTAGTTGAATTACTTAAGGCTTCGATTTCTCTTTCGCTCATCTTCAAGCATTCAGGGTGGAACCAGTCAAGGCAGAGGTCACACGATACATAAGTTCTGTTGCACCCAAAAAACGGGGAAACAACACTGCAATCAAAAGGCAGTTTAACTCAAGAACAGCGAGTTGATGTAAATATAAAGATCAATCAGGAATAGTGAAGCACATGTACCTGTTGTCTTCGGGTTGTCGGCAGACGCAGAAGACCACTTCGTGCTTGTACAGAGAAAAGAGCCGAATTAGAGCTCATTGGTCACTCTTAGTGAGCGAGACCTAGGCTATTGCATAGGGGGACCTAGTGGGTCAAGGAGGGACAATGGTCTCACATTGTTTGTTAGTAGTATGCAGTGGTGGATCCAGGGAAGGGGACAGGGGGACTATGACTATGCTAGACGCCCCGAGGGCTAAAATTTTTTTTAAGTTCACCCCCCCCCCCCCCCCCCCCCCAACCCCTTCTTCTGGTCCCCCCCCCGCCCCCGCCGCACTCACGGCGGTGGGGCCCGCGCTAAAGGCCCCTTCGTTCGACGTGTGGGAAGGGAGGACGATGTGTTCAATTGTTTTTTTTGGGGTGTGCGGGGGGGGGGCCCGGGGGGGGGGGCGGGGGGACATATCTAATCTCGCCCCCCCCAGGGGTAAAATTTTTTTTTAATTTCCCCCCCCCCCCCCCCCCCCAACTATCTCTGGGTCTAGATCCGCCAGTGACGTGGAAAGCGTTATCGGGCCGTTCACGCTAATGAAGGCTGCGTTATATGCGACCGAAATGCAGCTGACTTTCAAGATCATTCTCGATATAGCAAGGTAATCATTAAGATAAAAAACTTTACAGTGAACCGGGTCAAGGCATTGTGAAATAGCATACCGCAAGAGAAGAAGGGGGCGAATATCGTGGGCGAATGAAGACCTTTGAATGCCCAACCAGAATCTGCGAAGAAAGAAGACAAATCGGGAGTGAGTTAACTACGTGATTTAGCATTTGACGTAGTTCCTTATTCAAAAGAAGAAAAAAGGTAATCGAACCTGTATTGATTTTTCCACATCACTTTGAAACCGTACAAAGTCAGTGCCAGGATTTACGAAGGAAACATACCAGGTGAAAAAAGTTTTTTTTTGTTACCTTCCGTTTTCTATTAATGGTGTATCGTGGCCTGATGAGCCTTGGCGAATACACTTTGACTCTTTTGGAGTTTGTCTTGTGTTGCTCATGATCAGGTTTCTGAAAAAGAAAAGGTTCATAAGGTAAATGTTTTGCACCAACTACATATTACATACAATACTGGAACTTTTAGTTCCATATACTATCCATGAAGTGAAGTAGTGCAGAAGGGTTGGCAAGGTGACAGTGTTTAAATTCAGGCGCATTTCCGTACTTACGTCAACAAGGACATCTTCACCCTTATCGTTGCCTCCGGTTCTATGACATGAATCAGTGTTATCTTTCTCTAAAATAAAGGAATAAATAATAATAATGATAACAAGTGCATGATATTATTTATCGGGCAAGGAAGTGAAGGACAGTACATTTTTCAAGAATAAAATACGCCTTTTCCAGAATGTTAGGGTTGGCAAAAACTGTTTTTATGTTGCAGCTATGCAGCTCGCAAGAAAGGGACAGAGAAGAGAGAGGCGGTGGGGGCGGGGGCGGTGGAGATACCCAAAAGACGTACGCCATCATAGTGAAAGCCTTTTAAAAGAAGAAAATTTTCGTTACTTGAAAGCTACCACAAAACTGTGAGCAAGTTCATTACCTAGCTTTTAAAATGAAAACAGAAAAATGAAAAAGAAAGTTGTAGGTATGCATTGAGCCATTTAACCATCAGTTAGTAATGTCCCATTGGATTACGTCTTATTAGAACTAATGTTGCCTATACCAAAGTTTGTAATGATGCCAATGGGCCCTCGCACATGACTTATGTCACGGATCCACCCCGGGAAGAATTGCGGGCGCATTGAGACACACAGCTGGATACCTATCCTATCAGGCCCATCACAAAAGCAGCCATGAAAACATAACAACAAGCGCTTATTCTAACCTTGCCCTCAAGTGTTTTTGTTACAAGATCCACAAAATATTTTGACCGCCAAACGTTATATATGGCCTTCACCAAACGGGATCCCGGGACACCGTTCTCATATTTGGTGGCAATTGATTGCCAGTAAGACCCTTCTTTCAGTTCCTTAAAGGTATCAGAAGTGCCAGGGAGTCCGGTCTCAACTATTAGTTCTGCTAGTCGCTGACAATCCAGATTTTGACTAACTCTGACTTTCTATTGAGGAAATGACACGCAATAAAAGTCGTTGTTATAAAATAATTTGAATTACAAGCAGGATAAAAGATCAAAGCAAACGATAAAAGAAAAAAAGTAAACAACTTACCTTTCTTGTCATTATTCCATTATCTTACGTAACCCCCGACAAGTCCCAGGTTTGATGAAATGCCGTCCGTGTGCGCTTTTAACGAGGTATTTGTACTAATTTATGATTGTCATAATGTTGTCATTGTTCGTTTGAAATTATGACGAAAAAAAAAAACAACAACAAAACGGTCCAGACCTGGAAATTACTAACAGGGAAAATCATACTAACTTTGGAATAGAAAACATCGAAGCCTAACAATGTCAATAATGAGAAGCGGGTCTTTAACCACTTGACAATACTATTGCGATGATAGAAAAGGTACATCTGTTGACTTTATTTAACTCTTCATTTCTTTTAAAACCACTAAAGAAAACGCACTTTCAAATTATTCAATTATTCCTGTTGTTTATTTTAGTTGTAAATTAGATTCACAACTTACACAAACAAGCGAAGTTGTGCATTTTTCAAGCTCCTTTTGATTCTCTTTATAAACTTTGCAAACATTCAATTTTCTTTTTTCTGTTTCTTATACTTCAGTCCTTTGAGGGATTTCCTCAACGCATACCCCTCTCTGATATACTCACTCTTATTAGCAACTGGATTAGCCTCTTGTCCCCACACTAAACCGTTATAATCATTTCAAGTTTAATTCAGAAGTATAGGGTAATTTTTGTACAAACGATTTCAAGGAAATACTCGAAACCGAAGTCACTATCTAATATAAAACTACTAAATACTGTATTGCTGTTGGAAATATTTGTTGACTATCACTCCAATGATGTTCCAGTGAAGGTTTTGAAGGTTCAGTGAACCCCTCCCAGCCTTCTGGTATTAAAAATAGCTTATACTGACAGACCCAGTATATGTGAAGCAAAGTGAGTGGAACATTTACCCTGGCTTTTACTAAATTGGCCCTTATTCTGTATTTAAGCTCTTAAGTATTTGTTGTGGCTCCCATTGTACAAACAAACTTACGAACTTACGAACAGCGAACTAAAATTGGTTTAATGAACATTCACATATGACTGTTGCAAGACTCATACTAATGCAGTGTGCTCGTAGCACATGTTTAGGATAAGGAAGAGAGTCTTAATACCGCTGTAGGTGGAAAAATATAAGAGATGGAGAAGGCTAGCCGCTCGTAAATTTCACGGAGCTTAAACATAACTAAACTTGCCGAGATGCTGAATCACGAAAAGTGAAGTCACCCTTGAACTGTTCAAACATCATGCCTCCTGGGGCGCTTTCCATTTAGGAAGGAAAAAACCCCGAAATTTCGGTGGGAGCAAAAGTGGAATTTCCGATTGGTAAAAAGTTGTTCCATTTCGTCGTAAACACAGGTACGTCGCGATGCCCGACCGTGGACCTAGAACTGGTACAAACTACGAGAAAGGTAAATGGAACACGACATTCCGTTCGGAAATTCCAACCGGGAAAACGGGCCCACCTTTTTAGATTTTCCTTTTTTTGTGGGAATTTTCCAGTGGGACGAACCGACGAAACGTGTTCCATTTACCGCCAAACAGAAATTCCGGAAATTTTGACTAAATGGAAAGCGCCCCATGTCCAAAAATTCCATTAATTGATGTTTGGACGCGGAAAAACGTAAAAGCGAGCAAAAACTCATCGTCCTTCCATGTCTGCATTCTCCGCCATATTTGTTGTCAAGAAAAATTGGTACTCAGTCTCACTCGGCCAAATTTCTTTACTGGGGCGATCATGTAAACTCGGTTCCAGACCTCGCTGCCAGCCCCCTGGTTTCAACATCTATTCCAGCAAAGAGAATAACCTTATTTTTATGACAACTATTCCACTTTCTACTAATAGCCTGCGCAGCAGGCAGATTTATGGGGGAGACCCAATGGAGGGAACAGAAGCGAGCGGCCGCTCGTTCGCGCGCTCACAAAGTACGCCTACGCCGCTCATTTAAGTGCTCGCCAGACAAAACCGCCAGCTGCACAGGCTAGTTTCAGACCGAAGAAAGCAAGATTTCTTAATTGAATAGTTCAGTTCTATATAAACATGGTTATAGAAAATATCGGGTAATGCTATTCCACATGTATGCCTTAAGACAAAACGGCGTGTTGACCAAAAGAGGCATTAGAGCTAAAAGTACTAACTACTTTGCTGATCATACGAACAAGACCGGGCATGAGCTGTATTTTCCAGTTCATAATCTGTCTTTAGAATCTTCTCCTTCTAGTGAAGATCTCCTTCCTTCAGTAATGGATCTCTTAGGAGAGCAATTCAAACCCTCCGGGAGAGCTCTATAGACAAACAGAAGATATGAGACAAATGACTAGTCAAACTAATTAAAAAGAACCATCAATGAGTACCCTTCCAGGTTTGCGTGTAAACTACGCTAGAATTTTGACGCACTATATGACCTTCACCTTAAAACAACAAGGAGAAGTCTTAAAAAAATTCGTCCACCAATCTTTGAACAAACCGTTACAGACAGGGTTTCAGCGATTTATCTTAGAGAACTCTGTTAAAGTTGACTTTGGTCCAACGTTTCCAAGTTTTAGTTTACTTTTTTTCACTCTCCGTTCTTAGCCAAGTATGGTATCCACCACGGTCAAAGGTCCAAGGCGCTTTTTTGTTCAGTGGGATTTTATTTTACACTAGGTGAAAACAAGCGCATCCAAGAATGTCTAAAGAATGAGTTGATTTAACTATCCTTGCATTTTTCTCAATACAATGAGCTTCTTTTCGTTGAAAACGCTTCTTGCCGGAGTAAAATTGTGACGTGTTGACCAACAGAAAAGCCGGATCAGTTCTCACACACTTTAAACGTTTCGAGGAAACCCCTAAAAAGTTTAGTAAATTGGCAGCAGATTAAAATTTACAACCTTAGCTTTTGTAAATTTGTCACGTTTGACCGCAGTTAAGTATAATGGTAACTTTTAGCAAGACCCTGCCACTCTTAGAGACCTCTATTTAATACGGTTCGCCAACGTCTAGTGCCTAATGACAGCAGACGCTGCCTTCAGCAGGGCCCCCCACGAAGATACAGTCCTTTTCACAGTGAATGTCTACAGTGAAACGAAGGCAAAGGAAAGAAATAATTCATAACAAAATGTTAATGTACCCGGGAAATGTATTGTAACCGGAACCAGTTGCAAGCGTAATTTTTTTTAGCCAAAAGGCTCACTCAGTGCAATTAGGCGTAATTTAATAGAGGTTAATGCGCCTAGTACAGTAAAACTGAAGTAAAAGAGATCAAAACATCGGTCCACGACAATGTCAGTGACTGCCTTTTAAAAAAAATACATGCATCAACATCTGGCAAAATATAATCGATGGTAAGAAAAACGGTAAGTCCAAATACACAAGAATGATCCATTAGAAAGAAAGAGGAGAGGAAAGGAAATAAAACAAGGATGTCTTGACAAGAGCAATATTTGACCCATGAGCTAAATAGCTGGTCGATACTGACTCTGATCATCAATTAGCCTGTTCTTAAAATGTTATACTGACGGCATTAAAGCTAAGGGTGAAATTCAGTTCCGAGTAATATTGCCGGTCCCAGAGCCAAATCCTGAATCTTGCGCGGCATCTATCGCATAATTCGTCTTTAAGTGTCAATTCGGCAAAAGGCTGAGATACTCTTTGCAATCATAGGCAACTCAAGTTGGTTACATAAGCGCCACGCGTTTAGTCGTGTATTACAGCTCATACCGACAAAAAGGGTCTCAGAATACTACTGACTACTGCCTTTGTATTTAGCTCCAGGAGATATTTACCTTTGGCTTGACATCTGATCATTCACAGTAGCTTGGTTGCCTATCACACAAGTGTGCGGGCTTGTCACTTGGTTAATTGTCTGGTGTAAGTGATACTCTGAAACAAGATTCATCACATATTTAACATATATCCCACCACCATCTAGAAATCATTAATTTCGTAACCGATAGAACTCTTTGTGATACCTCACGCAACTGAAACTTTTTATTACGAAACAAACATCTATTTTCATTCGTCTGACAGAAATAATTATCCTCACGTTGTAAGAAACTACTATAAATTTTTACCAGCTGATGAGAAAAAAAGTACTTGTAGGAAGACTAAACGTGGAGGAGGGCATGCCATCAGGATCTCTCTGAAATTATCTATATGTTTCTCCCTAAAGCTTAAGACGGAATTCATTAGGAAATTGAGAAACGTTGATTTTCCGAATAATTTTCAGAATAATTTCACGTATATTGCATTCTTTTTTACACTTTTCTAGGGTTATAAATGTAATAAGTTATCCAAAGAAAAGGATCTCATGGGAGTCCGAGAAAATAGACTTCAAAAACTTCAAATTTCAGCGGAAAGGGAGACTTTTTCTGGGCCCCAAATCCGGGTTTATCCTCCATTCAGGGGACACATTACAGCATTCAAAAAGGGACTGACCACAAAAATCGTTGATAAGTCAGTTACACGTGTTCATTAGTCACAATGGTGAGAACTTTCAAAACATGAATTATCTCACTCAAATCGATGAACTGCACTTTTGGGGACTCAACGGCAAAACATCGTAGAGATAAGTTATTCACGATTTTTTAAATATCATTTTCTAGCCGCTTTAAACAACTACTGCCGCAGATTCCGAGGAAGAATAAAAGAAAAATATTTTATCTGTTGGTTAATTATTACCAAACCCCAACCCATAACTCTAAAACCAACGTCTTTTAGTACTTAGTTCAGAGAACATTGGACACCTCTATTCAGAGGACACTCGTCTTGCTCCCGAGGGTGTCCCCTGAAAGAGGTTCAACTGGTACTCTGAACTTAGTACTAGACGTTCGACGCTTGTTTTAGAGTTATGAGGAAATCTACAGAACTAAAGAAGAGCACTTTTTCGTTACCGATTTTCCCGCCCTGCGCACTGCAGTGTTTCTGTAACTCATCAAAAGAAGTCGAGGGAAATTTGCCACCAACAGAAGTCAGTGAGAGCCCTTCGAAATCTTCAGACATAAGTGAGTTGTCCAAACCTGAGTGAAAGAAATTTTTTTCTCACAAGTTAGATGATAAGGTGATGCCCTAAACTATTCTACCCTCTTTCCCTTCCTGTCTTCTTATACCTCCCTTCTTCGAACATTTGTCTAGTCTCGCGTTCCTTCTTATAGCTAACTCTTCCACGAGGAAGTAATTTTTCAAGATAGGATACACATTTTTTTTCCACTTTAATCAGCCTTAAGCAGGGATTTGAAAAAGATTGGACCGTTACCATGGCCCTCTACCCCAACATCAAGCCCCCTTTTGCCCGTTGTTTTCACGCATGCATGACGGGGTCCTTTAAAAGTTTGCAAGGACGATACAGCTTTCGTAAGGAGTTTATTAGAAACAAAAGAATTCCCGATTGAAATAGAACCTTGTAATATTGAGTGCCAATCGCCAAACGCGACTTGGCATCATTTTTGGTACTCATGCATTGCACACGCAACTTAGATTATTCAGTTGTATCTAGTAGTAGAAAACTGAATTATCTTAAGGGTGCACTGATGTTCAGAATTAACTGTAGGCCCTAAGCCAGTAAGATGGATAGACACTGATTACAATGTATAATAGCCTGTGAGTATCGAACATGTGTTAAAAATATTGACCGTTCAAACGCTGCACGCAACAAAGAAAGGATTTATTGAACTTATGGACGTGACTTAGGGTGGGATAAACAGACACAAACAATAAACGACTCCAACTTACCAAAACTTTTTACTTCCAGTAAACAGGCGCCGCCAGTTGAGCAATCGGAAAGGGTCACAAAGTCGTTACTGTCCAGAGCAACTGCCTCCGAACCCCATTTGTACACTAGACGGAGTCTTAGGACCTTTTCTTTCGTGAAGTCAATACATCGCATTGAAAGGTAACACTGAGAGACCTCTGAGTGACTCAAGTCTACCATGTCTTCACTCAGTTCTCGTTTGAAGATCTGTATCAATTCTGATAGCTTCTCCTTTTGTGATGCATAAAGAACTGTTTGAAGATTTCCCGAATGCTCGTTTTCGGCTTCCATTTTCATTACCGCAATGTCAGCTGGAGCGAAGCGACTTATGTATCTGTTAAATGCATCCATGCCAGATCGATTCAGCATAATAATTGACTGGAATGCCCCTATCTTGCGCATTGATCCATAGATGTGCACACATGCAGCCGCACTCAGTTGAAGCTCGTCCTCCGATACTTTCTTGATGCTGAACGTTTGAGAGTATGTGTCGTCATATTCGTCGTGCACCACGTTCTCAACATCAGACGAGGTACTGGACAATGTGGAGTTTTTCGAATCAATTAGCTCAAATCTCACCAGTTTTGAAGGATCAAACTTGGCAAAATCAACGAGACTCAATAAAATGTTGGCAAAATCTTGCATGTAATCTTCATCTACTTCCTTGTCGTCGGTCAACAATGTGTCTCGTAGGCGGCAAGAAAAAAATTCTAATCTTCTGTGCAGCCTTATGTCGTGTAGGCAGTGCTTGAAAAACCGCTCTAGAAAGTTGAGCATTTGCTCAATGGCAAGACTTTCGCTCCACTTTGTAATTTCTGCAACAGGCTTCTTGTTGTGATTCTTCAGGCACAACTTCTCCAGAATTTGGCACTCCACATACACAAGATCCCGGAATCTGTTGTTTTGTCGAGCATTCAAAACGCTTGTCAACAACTGATTTACGTTGTCCTCACGAAGTCCAATCAAGCCACTATGAGGAACAAGCCTCTTATGGTCAACAAAGATTTCCTTGATGGTTTGAATGAGATGGGGAACAATGGCAAGAAAAATGCTGGTCCTCGATTCATCTGACGGTGAACACACCAGTTTATATTTTGTAGAAATATCTTCTGGCATTGGTTGACGATTCTCGATGAACTGTTTGACTAAAGGATCTGCATTTTTGGAAGATGAAAAGGCTTTATCCTGGTTCAACTCCAGGCAACAGTCTCTCAACACAGAGTTGCAAAGAATTGTAGCTTTACGTGAAAAATACCTCACTAAATCTGTGTTAACGAGTTGTAAGCCAGTTATCTTCGTGGCAAGATTTCTCAAGCGCCTGATGTGCATCTGGCCTCTTGATGTTACATTGTATTCTAGTGAGTATTATAAAAGAATATCACAGAATAAAATTGGTAAACTGTTTCCTCTACTATGAACTGGGCGCCTTTTTGAAATTTAGGTCCAGAAAGGATACAGGAAGGTCTTAAGGGTTACTTAAGGGGACTGTGCCACGGCTGTTCATTTTGTTAATAATTAATGCCAGCAACGCATCCATGTTGCCTATAGAACCGTGCGAAATTAATTGTGAATGACAAAATCACAGCTCCTGTCAAACAAATGTCTTCAAACATTATATTGTTACAAAAAACAAAACTGAACTTTGAAAAACGTTTAGGCTAGGCTATTAAGTTTCCAAACCCAGCAGCCGCTATTTCAATCCGTTTCATTCCTCTTCAAGTTTGTCCATCCGTGCCTCCTTTTGTATTTGGAGTATTATTTATACCTTCTGTTCATTGCTTGAGAAGTTATTCTTATATTTCACTCAGTTTGGTGGCGGTTTCAACTGTCTGGATTTTGATAAATTTCGTGACACAGATCCTAATAAACTAAGTAAGAAATTTACATATCTTTAAAAAACAAAAAACAAAAAAAAAAACAGCCATTGCGCCGCAAGTCCGCTTGAAACACCACTGACCTTCTTGATTTAGGCCCTCCAGACACTTCTTGAGAGAAGAAAGATTTTCTACTCCAGCACTCTTCTCCAACCAGTGTTGCAAAGAAAGGTTCAACTGCTCGTAGTCGTCCTTCCAAGAACTGGTGACTTGATGCATTAACTCTTCAGGCATCTCAAGCAGCCTTGCAATGGTTACGACGTTAAAGATGTTCCCCTCCATACCCAGTAACTTCCTAACATAATTACACAGATCTGTGAAAAAATAACATACCACTTGTTAAGCGAGAGTGAGGTCATTACGGGGACATCTCAGACCGAGGCCTTGTTATATTGACCAAGCAATGGCGAGGTCAATGTCCCTGCCAAAAAAGACCGAACGGACGAGGTTAATAAGTTATTCATTATATGGCTTTTTTAGATAAAACCGTGGGGCACATTGAAAATTGCTTAAAACGCGGTTTAGTTAAACATTGGCTTAACTACAATGTACGTTTAAATAACTGGCCTAAAGAATTTGACGAAGATGCTCGACTGGCATAAGAGGGGACACTTAGTAGTGTCACTACAAATTTTTTGGAGACAATTTATTAAATGATATGTTTACCCCTATTTTGCGTCGAGGTCGGAGGTAAGAGTCCTAAGTAAAGGGTACGATAGTGAGTGAATGAGTGGTCAAATAAATGAATAGACTTAACGTGTGTTTCGTTCGCGAGAATCGCATTTAATTCATGTTTTAAAGATTAACTATGGAGACCAAGATAAGAAGGATCTTTAAGCACCACCGCCATCTATTGTATACTGTTATACTAAAGCACCTAACAAATTTACCTCCTTCACTAAAATGCTTCTTGCTCACGTGCCCATTTTCTCCATTCACGCTGACTGTCCCACAGAGATATCTCACTTCGTTTCTCCATTCCAGAGGAAGTTTGATTACCTTTCCTCCATTCCACCAAACAAAGGAATCTACACCGAAACTAAAACTTCTGTGCTGGCTATCAGAGAGTCTGTAGTCTTCCCCGAGTTGAATACTAACTTGAAGGTTTTCATGATTGTAAATTCGCTTTTTATCTAGTCTGTCAGTGGCATGTTCATGTACCTCTATAAAACCCTCTTTCCTAAGCTGTACCAAAGCTGAAGTCTCGTCCTCTCTGAAGAATTGTTCGTGGTAAACGTCTTGGCTCACGAAAAGTAGAGCAAGCATGTCGTGTGCAGATGAGGGACTCGTCTTGTTCAACAGCACCAGTAACGTGTAATCAAACGACAGCAAATCAAATCTGGACAGAATGTCTTTACTACGGATCAAGGTCCAACGTAACAGAACCATAATGAGTGAGAAATGTTTCAGTTCAACCTCAACTTCTCCGGCTGCCTCATTAATCTTTGAACTCTTAGTGATGTCTTGCCAGGTGACCTTTCCATCTCTAGCTTCAGTGCCATGCAAAATGAAAACATTATCTCCATTCCATTTCCAATTCATGCTTTTAAAACTAGTTGTCAGCTTTATAGGTTTCCTGAAAGAATGGCCATTCGGTTGTAGATTAACGATGGGTGCAGCTATAATAACGTCATTTTCCAGATCCTTTTGAACTATCAAACTGTAGTACTTAGACGGGTCCTCTAATGTTATGGTTACAGACAAGGAATCGTCAAGAGCTCCAGGGGGGCACACTAGCCTGATATTTCCTCCAGCCATTACACCACCTTCACTGGTAAAAATGCCCTCAATGCTTTCTTCCTTGAAGATGCCTTACCGAGAAGGTTAAAACAAAAGACATAAATCAGTTTAACGACATATTATGTCTGCTAGTAAACTCATTAAAGGAACAGTATCCCGTTACTGCGCATGCACCAAACTTTGATTTTTGGACAGGATGTCCCGAAATCAAAAGATGCGAGGAGAGTAAGAGAACCTTGAAAAATCCGTTTGCATCGCGCTTGGCCGAGTTCAATACTACACTAAAACTTCTCAGGATTACAGATCAATGATATATTGTTCCTGTTAAGTTTCGATTTGGGCGAAATCTGGATTTTTTGGCGTTACTTTTATTGCCGTTGGCCGGCGGACCAAAAGATGGGAAGCGCTTTGATGCCGATTGAAGGCTTATCTCTTCTGCTAGCTTCCATACAAGCTCAGATTATTGTGAAAGGAATACGCAGAAGTGAAACAGCCACAATAAAGACTGTACGAAAGAAACCATTGAGACATTGATGTGACTGAGGAGATCTTGTGGAGGGGAGCTTCGTGAAGCAGAATGTTTTGCAACGACGCGTTAGTAAACTTTTAAATAAATCTCCCTTCGGCCGACAAAATCAAACAAACAGGCGCTACATGTTTAAAAAAACTAGTTCCATGAAATCATAATATAATTTTTGACTAACCTTTGCGATGATTCATAGCGTTGAGATTGCATTTTTATTTATGTCTTTCAAACGTTTGAGGCTAGAACGCGAGCAAATCAGGCAGATATTACTGGACTTAGAACAATTGACCTCTGACACGAGTTTCACATTAGCAAATCTGTTTTTAAAGCGAGCCGGAGCGAAAAGAGATTTTCGGGTCGCGAGGCGGCCCTGCTAGCGATAAAAAATTTTAAATAAGACGAAAGACATCTTCGAAAGTCTAAAATATTACTTGAGAATATAAACAACAAATCTCCGTCGGCGGTGCGGTCCGGAAGGAAATCTTGTCGAGTCAATATGACAGTTCTATTGTCTTTTGAAGAAAAAACAGATGACGCTCGCGCGTGCGCATAATCGGGACACTGTCCCTTTAAGTAAAATAGGGGCAAATCAGGAGTGAAAAGTATGCTGATTACGTCACACAACCCGCGCATATTCTGTATCCACAGTTCAGTCTACTTTGTTGTCGTATAAAGACTTGTCAGACGGATTTGCTGATAGATATCAGAAAATTCTTTCCCAAGTAGGTGCTCTGCTAGATGTCATGATTTTCAAAAATAGTGCGACTTTTTTTAATTAAAAAAAAAACATGTTTCGACGGTACATTCTTCATCGTGTGATAGTTATGAAAGTTTACAGCTGATAAAACGTGCCTGTTACAATGTACAGTATATAACAATTCAGCTTAAAAGGCACATATAATGTAAATTAACCATCACATTCGAAAACTGATGCAATGGTACCCACATTTTTTATCAGTTTTGCTATTGAGAGCAATTCAAGTGGTTATATGTTACTGAAAGTGTTACTTTCTGGGGGAACAGAGCCGATGACGTTATAGCCTTTTGTCTTTATCTTATAAATGTTTCTTTTGCCGTGCTAGAGTATTACTGGTTTGACAGGATTTTAAAGTGCCCATCACCTAAAATTTATTATTTTCTTATCTGAAACTACACCTTATTAAAATAACTTCTGCGAAAAAATTTTGCGATTTGAACGAAAGACGATTTTTTATATATTTTTTTAAAAAAGTTCAAATTCGCCGCCATTTTTGCACACCATTCGTCTTAGTCTTCTCTCGGAGTATGGCGTCATATGACGTACTTTAAGGAACACGCGACCTTATCGACAAGAAAACATTAAGAGTTCTGATAGGTTTTTCTTTTTCAGAAAAACTTTCTTCTTGCGAAGACATTGTAATTCAATCCTTACTTGTAATTTATCTTTTTTGTTTACCGCTGGGTAATGCGAGTTCCTTAATTTACGTCACATGACGTCATATGTGAGCCTGCTAGTTTGCATGATCAGCGGCACGGGTGTACCGCAAAAATGTAGACTTCAAAAATTGGTAAAAAAATCGCGTTTTGTTCACACCGCAAAATTTTTTTGCAGAAGTTATTTTTAATAAGGTATAGTTTCAGATAAGAAAATAAAAAATTTTAGGTGATGGGCACTTTAATGTTTTAATTGATGATATAACCTGCACCCTGGGTACCAAAAGATTTTTCTCGCGTGCGGCGGGGTAGCTCGGTGTCGGCCACAGGACCTTTATTTGCTGCTAGAAAAAACCTCTGGCACAGAGCGATTCCATAAACTGTTCCCGTTGAAATTTGATCATGGGATTTCATTTAAACCAATCCGATCGAACGTCTCCAACTGTGATTACATGGGCTGGCGCCTAAAGTTAGAATCGTTGTCTTTCGATTTGCATTAACGAGCGCAGACAGTCAAAACAGAATTTTAACTAAGCTTATTCATTTATTTTTTAGTTTAAAATCAAATATAAAGTTTCATGAGGCAATTTTTATATTTAATTAAACTCAATCTCATCCGCCAAAGTAAAGAGAAATTAATACTGTCTATTGAAATGACTTGATATAAACAATAGACTAATAATTTCTGAGAAACCTCGATGTGGAATATTATTTAAGCTGAAAGAAATCATTATAGAACTTTTGGCAGAGATGATCGATCCCGCCTGAATAATAGAGCGTTTTCACAAGACGTCACGGCGGCCATATTGTAGTTACGAAACAATGAAACGGCGGCCATGTTGGTGTACCAAACCAATCCCGTGGGAGTTGAACTCTTTCTAATGCAAACGCTTTCTTTTGTTCCTATAAATTTGCATAGATGCTGCCTACGTGAGTGAAAACGCTTTATAGACTTTTTAGCTTGTATGTTTTGTTTTCCCATTGCAGACCATGTGATGTTACCCAAGAAAACTGTTTCTTTTAAATCTCGTCCTATGCATGTGCATCCACATACATATGCGTGCATGACTAATAAAAAGACAAAAGGCAAATTACCTAGAGAATATCACGTGCTCCGAATTGGGACAACAAAACATACAAGCTAAAAAGGTCTATTCGCACACAAGGTCCAGGAACAATCGATGTAGCAGTGCATCAATAGCGATTTTCCACAAACAGCTTGCAATACCACCAAAGTACCCTTGCGTCCATTAAATTAGTCGTTTGCCTCGCGATTAACTGCTCGGCACGACCGAAAGTTTCTAATACGTTTCTTCGGAACTGTGTCAAACCTTTCAGCATCGCAAGAAAGCTTTAATAACAACAGGAGAGTAAAACGTTACCTTCAGAAGTAGTAAAAGTTGGTGGCAAAACCTCTAAATCCACTGCATCGCTTTTTTCTACATTAAGATGATTGGACACAAGGCAATATAATAATAATAACAATAACAATAACAATAACAATAACAATAACAATAACAATAACAATAACAATAATAATAATAATAATTTACTATTTATAAGGCGCAAAATAGCATTTGAATATCTGATCTAATGCGCACAAATAGGCAAAAATAGTTTCCACTGCCATACAGTGTCACAGGATTCAGGGTAAGTTCTTCATCAATTCTCTCTGGGAGTTTTGCTCCATGTTTTACCCACTGATATTGTGGAGCTGGGTACCCTGTGGCCTTTCATCTCAAGGTAACAGTCCCACCCACTCTGACTAGCTGCGACTTGGGTTGTTTGATGATTTTCACCTCTTCTGTATTATGAATACAGTACATGTGTATAATTATTAAGTTCGTACTGATAGTTAACAAAGTTAATCCAAGAAGTATTATTTTATTTTAAGACTACTACAAAGAAGAAGAGTAAACAAAAAACAAACTGTGTAAAAACAAACTGTATAGAGAATAATGTGTAACTGGTGCATCTACATCACCACAGTAAGCAACATTATTTTTATTTCTTTGTTTTTTTTTTTGTGGACTAGCCTAATTAATATCAACTTACCTTTGTATTCCAAAATGTCTAAGGCTTGACAATTCCAAATTTTTTTCAGCCAAACAACAAGCTGTCGAATAGTCTTAGCCCTTTGGCCTAAGTCAGTTAACAAAGCCATTGAAGGACTTCCATCCGTTCTTGCTCTTTGGTTTTCAAATGACGTAACCTAACCGAATAAAACAGTTTATTAAAGGTTTTTGTAATGCAAGTGGGACTATCAATCCCGGGGGGTTACATTGGTTATTTTTTGCTGGGTATGTGCCGCTGGCCTCTCAGCGCCCCTATCCCCTTATAGTGTGACCAATTACAGACCCCATCTTAGTCACTTTTGGGCAAACATGTAATTTTCGCGATCCCAACTTAGTCACTTTTTATTTTTATGAATTGACCCATTTTTAAATGGAATACAGTACAAACATTATAGTACGTTTGCTAACCGTAAGTATGAAGAACTGTCTTACCCCAAAAAATCCGAAAATGTGCGACCCCATTCTAGTAACTCTATTGAAAATGCGACCCCATCCAGCGGCACATCCTCATTAGCCTCTTGTAAGGAAGTATCGATATCGACTTCATTTAGTACAGATTACGTGCAGGTTCTCCATCATAAATAATCATTACCGTTTTTAACACAGGGCCTGAATATCTAACACGGTCTCTTTTCAAAGACCTTTTCTCAGTTCGTTTGGGCCCGCTAAGAAAGCATAAGCTTGCAGCGAACACAAATATCGGCCCCATTTTCATTTAGGTCTTCCTTTTAAGAAAGAGAGATCGTTCTTAGAGTTTGAGCAAGTATTGGTTCACTAGCCTACTTATGTGGTCATAATTTTTTTCATAGTGATTTTTTGGCTGTAAATAGGACTTAAAGCTCGATGGAAGATTTATTATTATTATTATTATTATTATTATTATTATTATTATTATTATTATTATTATTATTATTATTATTATTATTATTATTATTATTATTATTATTTTAGCTGTCTTGTTTTGGGAAATGATTTTTATTAAATCGGCCAACCCCTTCCTCAAAAGGCAAAAGGAAAGCTCCTAAGATTAAATATAGGTGTGTGGATTTCTTTGTCATGGCTTACGTTCATTGGTTTTAATATAGTATTTAATATAGTAGTAAAACGAAAGCTTCGCTTGCAGGCTGGCTTAATCTGTATATTAGGATTTGATCCACAGACCCAAAAGCTACAACCTCTTACACACCACATTTAATACGAGGAAAGTAGTTCTGCTCAGTAGCTCTAATTTCAACTGAATAATCACAAAAGTTTTTTTTAGGATTTCAGTTAGGACCACAGTGTACTGCATAAATCAACCGTACCTATTGGGGAAAGTACTGCTTTGAAACTTTTGCATGCCTTCAGTCCTCCTTGGAACCATCAGACAAAAATCATCGCCATATAACTGGAAATCATTCTCAGGCCTATGGAAAGAAATCTAAATACTGTTTTGTTACCTGTTCTTCTGAATACATTCCAGTTGGCATCACACTGATAAGGGCCTTCCAGTCACAAGGACCATCAATGTCGAGCTGGTCAGATAATTTCTTGAGGACGCCATAAGGCAGCTTTCGTATTTCTATATCCACGTACTTTGTCTTTAATAAATTCAACACAAGCATTATTGTAAGGATCAGCTGCTTAAATTGAAACATATTATTCATTCAAAGTATTTCGCCTTTTCCGGGATTGGTTCATAGCCCCTGCTTTTTTTTTTATAATCAAATGGCATTTACGATATATATTTATTGCCTAGTCCCTAGGCCTCATTATTCTGCGCGGCCAAAGCGTTTCGGGTCACGCGGTCCAAGCGAAAATGTGAGGCTTAGAAAAAAATCCTCAAAAGTGAGACAAAAGTGAGACAGCTCTAATCTCAGGCGGTGGTTTACAACTGAAGACCAGTGTTTCGCATGTCAAGGCTAAAAATACACCGCTAAAGGACACAGAGAAAGGAAGGGAACGTTCAAAAGAACGCTCAGTTTTGTTTTGGTGAACAAAGGAAGGCTCTTCTTTACAAAATTGTCCTTCTAGGAATTCAAAATTCACGAAATTTTCTTCACAGCCGATCGGAGCGCTTGGCCTGTTCTGAAACGCAACCAAGCAGCCAAGTTTTCTAAAAGTTCTCAGGTACATTTTGTACTCTTTAGTCAAGAAAATTACGTCTTTAAAAGAAAATTGATGTATTTGTTTAAGGCTGGTTTCCATATGATAGTCCGGATCGTACCGATCGCCCCAGCCGTTTCTAAAAATTTCGAGACGACTGATCCGGACGACTGGGACGATTGGTAGTTTCCATATGCATGTGATCGTCTCGATCGCCTCAAAGCCAAGAGACACGGGGTCGTCAGCGATGTCTCTGGGTGAGACAATAGAATTTTTGCGCGCGTTTCGCAAACAAGCCAAACATTAAATGATTATGATTTTTATTCGGAGAGCCAACCTCGTCCCTTTCTATCTGCTTTTTCTCTCGATTATGCGGAGTCGAGAAGCTAGAAGAGTTCAACGAAAACATACTATCACGTCGAGAACTTGATGTCACGGACTTTCTCTAATTTCAAATATTAATAGCGCCCATACGCGGTGCGAACATTTTGTAGGCCATCCAGGCCGAATATATTCTCGATTACTGGTATAAAAGTCCCAGTCGTCTGAGACCGTTTCCATATGATCGTTTCAAAATTTGCACGATCGTCCCGATCGTCCAAGCGATCACGACCATTAGGCAAACTCCATCCATGGTAACAGTAATATCTTTATTTTTCCTGTAGACGACCACCTCCCGGAAGGGATCACTTTGTCGTGCACCAAGGGTGGTCGCTTATGAGAGAGTTAACTCTACTGTTTCACTGCAACGTTTTGGACATTATGACGCTATTTTCATGATCGATAAGAGTATAGACCGTGGAAAATTGTTGTTGATTTTTCCCTCATTTTCTATGTCTATGTTGGTCGAGGATTCTCGGAAAATTGCGCTCGCAAGAAAGAGAAAAACAAATTGCGCCATTATCACGTTATTTCCATGGTCTGCACTACACCAATCAGCACGCGAGAAATCGCTCAGTAGCAGTTGCAGTAAAAAAAAAACAATTAAGTACTCACAGACTGAACAACACCATCAGCCTTGTTTTCAACGCTGCTGCTTTGGTTCTTTCCCCAATCACTATGCACTCGTTCTTTCTCATAAGTTGATGACTCCGCAATGCCTCTTGGATATGGGTATTTTAGTGTAACGACCCCTAAAAACAATAGAGAAAAAGATGACATTAAGTTAGAAGAACGCTGTGCCACTTGACCAGTATGATCGTCCGGATTCAGTGTATGCCTGTCAAATGAAATTGGACTGTTGTTTACAATGAGTGATGAGTCATCATTAGAGTCAAGGCATGGGTTGGGTAACTTCAGTTGATGGTATTAAAACCGACGGAGAAATTCATACAATCAAATCTTGTCAAAGATTTATATTATTTCTTATCCAATTACTGTATATGTGCATGTTATACATCTTGTAAATATTTATATTTTTATATTATTTTTTAAATCCAATTTACTGTCTTTGTATTTACTACTTTTCAGAGGTTTATTAAGAAGGCCTTGGAGTTCAGTTAACGTCCTATTCGCCATTTGCACATCTCACATAATACAGCTTGTTTGTCGTTATGTAAGCCCACAGATGA